AGAGCTGCAAGATGGAACATAGGAGGACAAAGAAAATGGATACCTAGGACAGGTGGAAACCAGGACTTCCTGAACATTCCTACATAGAAGCTGGTTTTCCAGGGGTGTGCTGTGCCCTCTGTGTCTGGGAGGCAGGGGCAGCCCTGCCACTGGTCCACCCAGCATGGTGATGGGGGTACCACCTGCCGGGTCCCAGTCATAGGCACAGATGCTTGCTCACTGTGTGTCTGTGGGCCTGGGCTGGAGAGTGCTTACTTAGTAGCAGATCTTACCTGACGGATTTCTTCTAAATATTTGAATGTGTGGGTTTCCTACTGTCCAGGATTGGGACCATGTGGTTGGCCTGAAGTATAAATATTTACAAGCCACCAATGTGCACTGGACACCCACCACAGGGAGAGCGCAGAAGCCAGAGGGAGCCCAGTAGTCTAGCTGCCAGCACCTACCTCAATTTCTGCCTCCTTCTGGAATTGCTCTTCTCCATAGGTTTTTTTATCCACTTTTCTTTATCCCAACTCTGTGACTTTTTTCTCTTCCAGGTCAGCTCTTGTTGGTATCACAAGCGAATAGATGTCTTATCTGATGATTACCTACTGGATAGTTGCCCAGGGTGTGGGGAAAGGTCATGAAGACAGGTAACAGTCTTTGTGTTAGATGGCTCTAAAATGTCCCCGAGGGGACAGAGCATTTTTCAGAGGAAGGGGCTGTTTTCCTTTCTAGCTCTCTTTCCTCTCCTGTCCCTCATTTCCTTATGCCCCTGTCTTTCCCTCCCTGCCTCTCTTTTAAAGAATCTCAGGTAGCCCAGGTTGGTCCTGGAGAATGACCTTGAACTCCGCATCCTCCTCCAGTACTGGGTTTGCTGGCGCGCACTACTGTGCTCCGCATCTTCACGTTCCTGTAAACATCTCCTTCATCTCCTTAGAGCAGATGAGACTCACTTGAGATGTTCAGAGACGCAGAGGCAATTAAGCCACACAGAGCCAGTCCCTGGCTCAGACAAAAATCTCAGAATGTGGCAGGAACAGTTTTATGGATTCTGTCAAAGGCTGATGCTCTCTGCCTGGACTTGAGAAGATTTTGTAGTTTTGTGATTTTTTTTTTCAAATTGCATTAGGAAGATTAGAAAGACAAAATGGCTAAAGCGAATGACCATTTAAGCTCTTTGCTCTCGTCTACCCTCTGTTGTCATGGTGACGTTATCACTCAGAACTGCAGCGAAGTGATGGAAGCCGAGCAGAAACTTGCATAGAAACTCCTGAAGCAGTTGGTCTGACTCAGCTGCAGGCTGGTAAAACTAATCTTGAGAATCTGTTAGCTCAGTGAAGACTCCTGTCACAGGTGGAGGGGCCCAGATGAATGTCACGTGCTGGAAAAGGAGTGACTGACGTCACTTCAGGGGAGGTGAAAGCTCTGCCCACAACTACCTAGATAGCAGGAGTAAGAAGCAGTCAGCTAAATGTCACCATGCAGTAGGGGCACAGAGCACATGCGGCTGATACGTGAAAAGGCCACCGGCTCAGTCTGTGATGTTGATTGGCAGTGTGGCCATGTTTTTTATGGCGTGACAGACTTCCAGTCCCTAATGTCAGAGCAAAGCTCACAGGGTGCCCTGCTAGATGGCCACTTCCCTCTGCTTCTCTCCTGGAGTTGTTTTTGTTTTGTTTTGTCTTTGATGCAAGCTTTCTCTGTGTAGCCCCGGCTGTCCTGGAATTCTCTCTGTAGACCAGGCTGGCCTTGAACTCAGGTCTACCTGCTTCTGCCTCACACTGCACCACAGTCTGGCTGGCTTGGTNTCCTGGAACTCTCCCTATAGACCAGGCTGGCCTAGAACTCAGAGACCCACCTACCTCTGCCTCTCAAGTGCTGGGATTAAAGGTGTGAGCCACCACTGCCGGACTTGTAGCTGCTTTATTGATAATTGTGGTGGGAGGCTGAAGGTAGAATATTTCAAAACCTCATTTCATGAGAATTCTGTTGTCTTAGGAAACACATGCCTATCATGTTATCAAGTTATGTAGCTCATATTAGTTTGTTCCTTTAGTCCTCAGTGCATAGAACGGACCAGAATTACTATAAAGTCCGATTGGATAAACTGAGGCTTAAGGATTCTTAAAAAAATAAAATCTATCTAAGGTCACATGCCCATAAATGTCAGAGCCTGGATTCATCCAGGTCAGACTGATGGCCAAGTGTGGGCCTGTAATCATTGTGCCCCACGCCCTCCCCTGCAGAACTCAAGCAGTCAGAATCCTGAGGACCCCACACCTTCCAGGCTGGCCTACCACTTTTCCTTAACAGAAGACAAATCACGAGTGTTAACATGTGGAGAACTTGAAAGCTTTGTTTGCCATGGGTGGGGTTGTGAATCGATGCAGCTGCTGCGGAAAACAAGATTAGTCTCCGGGACGAGATTTAGGCTTCAGAGAGATGCGACACATGTGGGAATTTGGTTGGTTTGTTTTTCCTGAGACAGGGTTTCTCCGGGCATCCCGACTGTCCTAGAACTCACTCTGTAGACCAGGCTGGCCTCTGCCTACCAAGTGCTGGGGATGTGCCACCATGCCCGGCTTTAGGGATTTTTGTTTTTAAATATTTCTTAAAAGCTGGGCAAGTTGGCACCTGTGGATCTCTGGGAGTTCCCAGCACTCAGAAAGCAAAGACAAGCCCAAGTGGATCTCTGGGGGCTGGAGGCCAGCCTGGTCTCCATAGTGATTTACAGGCAATTGAGAGACACTGTCTCAAAAAATCGTGTGTATGTGTGTTTGCCTGAGTGAGTATATAAGCGCACTACATGCATGCAATGGCTGAGGAGGTCGGAAGGGCAGCAAACTTCCTTAAACTAGAGTTATTGGCAGTTGTGAGCTGCCACGTGGGTTGCTGGGAACCAAACCCAGGTTCTCTACAAGAACAGCCAGTGCTCTTAACCACAAAACCAACTCTAGCCCTGTGATTTCTTCTTGATTGCCGTGGATGTTATGTAATTAAGTAGGGGCGATAGTTTCATATCATAGTGAATATACTAAAATCTGCTGAACCTTGTAGACCTCGAAGGTGGGAATTTATGGTATGGGAAATTCCCAGGAATCCACAAAGATGACCCCAGCTAAGACCCTAAGCAATTGTGGAGAGGGTGCCTGAACTGGCCTTGCCCTGTAGTCAGATTGATGATGATCTTAAATGTCACTATAGAATCTTCGTTCAGCAACTGCTGGAAGCAGATACAGAGATCCACAGTGGAGCACTGGACTGAGCTCCCACAGTCCAGTCGAAGAGACAGAGGAGCGAGAATATGAACAAAGGGGTCAAGACCATATTGTGGGATATTTTACTCTTTTGGCTTTTTGGACTTTTGGGGGGTTCCACCACCCAGCTCCCAAATATTTATTCTTAGCTATGAATGCTCAGCCTTACCTTGGTTTGTTTCTCGCCAGTTTTTCTTAAATTATTCCCAACTACCTGTTACCTCTGGACTTTTATCTTTCTCTATTTCTGCACACCTTTCTTCTTTCTCCATGGCTTGCTGTGTAGCTGGGCGGCTGGCCCCAGTGTCCTCCTCTACTTGTTTTTTTTGCTCTTTCTCTTTGTTCTCTGTTTTCCTATTCATCCTCTCTGCCTGCCAGCCCTGCCTATTCTTGCTCCTGCCTCGCTATTGGCCCTTTAGCTCTACTAGATCATCAGGTGTTTTAGACAGGCGCAGTAACACAGCTTCACAGCGTTAAACAAATGCAGCATAAACAAAAGTCACACACCTGAAAATATTGTTCCCCAACAGACCATGATGGGGATACCCACTGAAAAAGCTTACAGAAGCTAATGGGAACCCACTGACTCTGGCCTGACAGAGGGGGGAGGAGGGCTGCATAGGACCAAACTAGGCCCTTGGAATGTGGGTAACAGCTGTATGACTGGGGCAGACTGTGGGGCCACTGGCAGTGAGGCCAGAGAAAAGTTTTTATGGCCCAATAAACCTCTCCGCCAATGAAATAATCCAATCAGACCAAATCAAACCGAATTAGAAAAAATCCCAGGTTTAATGAATGCCTGTGCTCCTGGGTGGCCTTCCAGGCCCTCAGAGAGGAGATGGGGAAGGAAGACCAGAAAACCATGGAGAGGGGAAAGAGACGCGGAGTTTGTTGGGGGGGGGGGGGGGGGGGGGGGGGGGGGGGGGGGGGGGGGGGGGGGGGGGGGGTAGCATAAATATCCTGTGGGAGTGGTCTTGAGCATCTCTGGGGAGGGGTCACCATTTGGCAGGCTTTCTTGGAGGTGAAGTCTGGGACTGAGACAACTCCCAGAGGAGGGGGCCTGGGATGGAACTTTCCACCCAAACATTCCAGACTCTTTGGGTGCAGAGATGCCAGGGGCTGGGGTGGAGCCTTAACCTAAACAACTAGGATTTATCCCTACTGCATGTACTGTCTTTTTAGAACCTGTTCTCTTTGGAGGGATACCCTGCTCAGGGATGAGAGAATCGAGTTTGAACTTGTAATTAAAGATACTCTTTGATTTTACGTCGTATCTGGTCTTTTGGTGGTTTTTGGGGGTCCGGACTCTGGGCACAACACAGCCTCTGTCACTATGAACCCCTCTCCCACCCTTGATGAACAAGTTTATCTCAGCTTCCATACAACCACTTCCTCCGTTCCTTTTCCTCCATTCCCTCTTCTCCTTCCTCCATTCCTTCTTTCCTCCTTCCCCCTCTGGAGTGATATTTTATTTGTGTTTTAATAAATAAAGCTTGCCTGAAGATCAGAGTGCAGAGCTAAGCCACTAGAGGTCGGGGAGTGGTGGCTCACACCTTTAATCCCAGGACTCAAGGCCTCCCAGGGCTACAGATTGAACCCATCTAAAAAGAGAAATAGAACTCAATACAAAAGTGATCCCAGCACACGGGAGTCACAGGTCTTTAATCCCAGCACTAGGGAGGTGGAGGCAGGAGTGATATGGCTGGGTGGAGAGAGGAATATAAGGCGGGAGGAGACACGAGCTCAGTACAGTCTGAGGTTGGCCAGGAGCATTGCAGCCTAAGTCACGCTGAGGATAGAATCGCCCCTTTATTTGTCTGAGCCTTGGTAGAGGTAAGAACTCTCTATTCGCTTGGCTTCTTTGCTTTTCTGATCTTCAGCTTCAGCTTGAACCCCAATATTTGTCTCTGGTTTTATTATTCATGCCACACTCCCCCCTCCCCTCCTCTTCTTCCTTCTTTCTCCCCTCCTTCTTCCCACCTCCCCTTCCTAGTCTCTTCCTCCCCCTTTTTGCTTTTCTTCACCCTGTGCCTTCTCCATTTCTACTTCTTCTCTCTCTCTCTCTCTCTCTCTCTCTCTCTCTCTCTCTCTCTCCCCCTCCCCCC